AAGTATACATATTTATATTCCCATAACAATTGGTAAAGTATATTTATGCTTGAAGATAGATAAACATTGGTTGCCGTTGTATTTGCGATCCAATTTGCATAAGGATCGGACTATAGGCACCGACGAAACATATTCAAGACTGCAGTTTACAGATTTTAATAGATATAAGGACAGTTTGGCGCTAACTTGAGGGTATCTCCTAGTCGAGCAGTTGCAACTGGAGCACTTTTACTTGTTTGCTGTGCCCTTTTGGCCCACTAAAGAGAGCGACTTGAATAACACTTATGCACAAATCTCGAGACGTCTTTTGAGACGCTCAAATGCAATTTGACTTTGGAGTATGCCTTGGCGCGCCCCACCGCCCACTGCCTACCGCTTGATAGGTCTGCAGTGTGTGCATATCTTGGAGTTTATTTACTTTGCAGTTTCATGGCACACTCCATGTGTCATTTTTATTGCCCCGGCTGCCGTCCAAGTGTGGCAGCATAAAATTGCCAACTGCACTCGTTGCCAGCGTCGCTGTCGCTGTCACCGTCACCGTCGCTGTCGCAGTCGCAGTCGCTGTCGCTGCCGATGCGTCGTTGCTTTTATGACTCAGAATTACTTTGCGCAGTGATTGAGTTGACAGGCCGCAAGAGCAGTGCTGTAGACTCTAAACTATAGAGACTATAGCTATTCTACGCATATGTACATATATAGATATATATGGATGTATGCAGGTGTGTGTGACTGCGTATTTGGTTTACGTGATTTGTGACCCACAATAGTCGTCAGCTAGCAGACGGCAATGGTATTGGCAACTGCAGCAACTTGTCTTCAAAATGTTTACACCCTGCAACATATTGAATATTGTCAAATAAGGTATAATGATTTTGAGTATATGTACGTGACAGAAAAAAGCTGGCAATCTCAGAAACTGCAAAAGCTAAAGACACTTTAAGCTTAAAACATATATTCTCGTATATAACACAAATTAGGGGCCTATCATTTTTGTCGATAACTCTTCCAATTAACAAAAATTATGAATTTCAATACATGGTTTTTAAGCATAGCTTGCATATATTACAGGTTAATGTTTGGATTATACACTTTTTGTATACATACACCCGTTCTCCTCAAAATGAATTGAGTTTTTGAAGATCGGAATATAAAAACCGAAGTTATAGTTAAAGGCAGCCCAGCGGTCAGGGTATCTGCTAGACGGGCATTTCCCACTAGAGCACACTTACTTGCTTATCAGTTGTCTTGGAAATGCATAGGTAACTTATGATAATGTTTATTATTAAAGAAAACATGCTATAGAATTGTGATTTCATTTAGGTAGGCAATAAATAAAATTTTATCAAATTAATAAAACGCAGCAAATATGCGAAACTCGAAGGTTTTAGTTAAATCAATTTGATGACACCCACTTGGCATTACGCGATTCTCACGCCATTTATGTAAGAGGAAAACATTTCCAAATATTCATTTTATATAACCAACTAGTTAGCAAAGCTAAGCTGCTTAAATGACCGAAACGCAGATAAAACGCAAAGATGTGGCTTTTTTAGGTTTATGAACTTTAAAGTTGTTTCTTCTTCGTCGAGCCCTGCATTTAAATATCATAAAAACGAAAACGTCAAAATATGCAAATAGAAAATGCGTTTCCCAGCTTAGATTCATATCGAGTTGAGTGTTAGGAAACGTTTCTCATTGAAAAGGTGGAAAAGACTATATATAAAAAAAAAAAAAATAATAAAAAAAAAAACTCAACAAAAGTGTTGACCCCTTTAAGGCAATTTCAAACACGTTTTTTACGTAAATTTCACACATACACGAATGTATATATGTATACATATTCACATCCGCGGAAAAGAAACATGAGTTAACGCATAAAATGTTAACTGAATATATTATATTTTATTATCTTTATAAATGTATACAAATCCACACTATGACCCGGTTTGCAACGATTCCACTCGCAAGTGTGGAAAATACGTGAATATGATCTTTGTGATCATAACATGTTCACGTTTTCCGCAATACCTCCGCTCCTGTGTGGAAAATTGAAGATCTACACATTAAGGAAATGAATACGTACTTTTAAGAGTTTGGGAAAATCCAAGCTCGGGAAATGCGCTGAAAACTGTTGTATAAAACTTTCATCGTTTTGCATCTAAAAAACATCATGCTCATTATTGGAGATATGTCTAATAATTGAATAGATATTGCGCTATATCCAGAATTTGCATTCGAAGCCCGGACAAGCCCGTGTTTTAAACGTTAGTTTTTTATATATAGGATTAATTGCGGCAGCGCTAATGAACTGATAGCTATATCCCCACTTTTGTTGACTGTTCGAGCTGCACGTACAACTCCTATGCCTCTGGGCGGAACCCCGCCCCACACACACACACACACACACAACGAACACACTTTCAGTAAACTACCCATCCTCCTCGTGCACCGAAAGCTCGGCCATGTGAAACACACAACTCGTTGTTCAAACGTTGCTCTGCTCTCTTCTTTGTTGTAACTGTAGTTGTTGCTGTTGTAATTTTTCGCATAAATTTACATTAATTTATGCAATTGCTTGCATTGTTTTTGGTGTTATTGTGCTTTTTTTTTTTGTTTTTGTTGTAACTGCGGTTGCTGGTTGCCTTTTTTTATCGCATTTTTATTGTCATTTGTGTTTTTATTGAACAGTTTGTGACATTTTACGATTTTCAAAGTGAAAGGTACATATTTGGTAAATTGCTATGGAAAAGAAATGAAGGCAGCCACACCAAATATAAAAAAAAAAAAAACAGCAAAACGCGCACCATAACCAATGTAAGAATGCTCTAGTCGAGTGTGCTTGACCAGCAGATACCCTGCACAAGTGCTCTCAAGCTAGCAAGTTGCATGCATTTCATTTTATGTTGCTGAACTTTTTCGCCAGCTTGAATTTGAGTATTGATTTCTTTTCTTCGTTCTGTAAAGCTTTTAAAACAAACTTGAAGTCAATTGCACGAAAATTAAACCTCAAATATCGTTTTAATTCCTTAAAATCGAGCATCCCTTCCCAAAAATGTTGTATATCTACAAATAAGAGTATTCGCTGCCTTGAATATTATATAAATAGTTTACTTATTTATTTGTCGAATATCAAATAAAATCAACCATCAACTGATGGGTAGAGTATACACTTCCATATGAAGAGCTGCGGATAGTCAGTCATGGATCGGTCGGCCGGTTGACTTGGCTTTGTATTGCTTTGGTCTTTTCGGTCGTTTGGCCGTTTGCCTGATTTTGGTTGTATTTATGCAGCCGACACGGCGCGAAAATGCATTTTGAACTGGTTTCTCGGCTTCTCGCTTTTGGCCTTACATAGAGCCATGAGCGAGCGACGACGTCGCTTGTTGTGAAAATGGGAAAACTGTGCACGTACTTTCCGTGCTCGCCAGCCGGTTGGCCAAACTATAAAAATTAATGAAAAAACCAAACTGAGCTGCCGCGTAGGTTGCTGCACTTTCAAATGGAAGCTGTGCACCAACCAAACGGCACTGCCAGGGGCAGTGCCAGGGACAACATTGCCACATCATGAAGGGCAGCAAGTGCCTGCAGTTCACTTCCGTGATCTAATGCTGCTTGTGGAAACGAATGGGACACCCACACCTAAGAGGCAACATTATGACAACATAAAGTATATGCTATATTCTTGAGCAGGCCTAGCTTATATACATAGCTTCCAGTCCTAAAGCTATTGTCATGCAACCTTCTACTTATTGTAGGCAGTTAATAAATGAAATTCGGAATTCGAATTGCATTTTCCAGTTGTCATACGAACGCAAGGGTATTAAGTCTTTGGCATTTTTTGCTTATAGATGTACAACTCAGAGCCTTACAATGCCTTTGATGGAAATGGGATATATATTACAGGCTCATTAAATATGAAGACTTTAACGACCTATTGTTGGGTCCACGGCACAATGCCAACATAGTTAACGGTATGACAGGCCACCTGTTGGCAACTCACTTTTTAGCCATTTAATGCTTTCGCATAACTTGAGGACTTTGCCAGACAACAAGCTTTCCAACTTTGACATGTGTCGGTAATTTTTGAGCTGTTTCACATTAATCAAAAGTGCGCCATTTTCAGGTTTTCCATAATTACATCAAAAACACACAGTCACAAACAAGAACTAAAAACCGTTTGTAAATGTCAAATACAAATTGCGAAAAACATTTGGGCCGGAAAATATAAGCAAAAGGAAAGCAGAAAGCTCAATAGCAGGTGATTTTCTTTAGCACACACACACACACACACCCTCCCCCATGACTCACCCCTCCCCTGCCAGACTTCACTCACTGCCCAGCAGTGCATAGCCGCAGCTGGCGTCTGCCATTTTGCCTTTAGTTGATTTTACGCTAATTTGGGTACGTGTTCAGAATTTCAAATATATATATACATATATAGTCGTATATATACTATTTTTGACATTTTTGGGCATTTGTCAACACAATTAAAGAAGCTGGAGTCCAAGTCAAAGTCGCAAAGGTAAACACAGACTGAAGAAATTGGCGCTTTGCCAAAGAAACAGCTCAAAAATTAACACGAAATGTCAAAAAGATGAGACGACGCAGCTGCCACTAGAAATTTGGCGAACTGCAGTCAACTACTGCTGCTGCGGCTGCTGCTGCTGCATTCAATTTGAATTTAAAGCGTCAAATAAAGCAAATAAATAGTTTTGTTCATAAAGCCAAGCGGAAATTGATTTCAGCTCAAATTGCCATTTGAAATTGTGATTTTGCCTTTTGCTTTTGAGTTTCCTTCGAGCCAACTCTGAACAAAAATCGAAATGCGCTTTTTTGGTGTACAACTTGTGGGACACAGTTACAAAAACGATAGCAAGTAATAAAAATAATAGTCAACCAACTAGTTCAAAAGTCTTAAATTGAATTGAAAAAGGCGGAAATAGCACATATAGAACAAAGCTTGCAGCGACCGCAAACAGTCAAGTTATAATAGAACTTACCTCTCAGTCCCAAGATGCTGTGATTCGCTTCCGTTGAGAGTTCTGCATAATATCTGCAAGGGAAAACAGAATACAATAAGAAATCAGTAATTTTATATGTTGAGCGACTAACAAGCAATGGTAATTTTAAGTCAAAAATAATGCTGTCGTATGCATTCCATGTCAAGCCCGAAGCCAGAAAGCATTCCATTTAAGTCCAAAAGCAAAATGCGATGTTTCAAACTATATTTGTTGGTCTGGAGCGCACTTGACTTGAACAAGAGATTGCCTTCAGCGGCAACCTTTGCACCTGGGCTGTGAAAATGAAATGCAAATAGTTAACGTAGACCTCGGACCGCAGCATAATGCTGCAAGTGTTGCTTGCGACGTGGGTATATGTTTCCGGCTGGCATTTGTTGGGCCAGCAATTTAACAAACCATAAAAATCCGCACATAAATTTAACCGAGTAGCAGCGGGCGGAGCAACAGCCCTGGCAGCACTGGCAACCCTGGCAACCCTGGCAGCTGCGACGATGGCCAACATACGCATATGCAGTGCTTAAATTTATGACCAAGCATTTCCACACAAACAGTCAGACCATGCGCCATCGACAGTGGCAAATAGATTAGAGCATATTTTAGCAGCTTCCGAAATATAACTAGACAATCGATCAGCAATGTTCATCAATAAAAAATTCAATAGATAACATACAAGCTACAGTATGTCAATAAAGTGTTTTGACTAACGAAAAAAAACTAATTTTTTGGGTTTAGTTGAAAATAAATGTACCTAAAAGTGAGAATTTTTTTTCAATTCTAATTTATTTCGATTCTATATTTTTCCTAGAACTTAATGGCAAAAAGAATTGTTAAATAACATTACCCAAACATTTTATAAAATTAAAAAACTAAAAACATTCAAATTTTATGCTGTCAATAAAGTGTTTTTACACGAAACTTTATTACTAAATAACAATGTTAAAAAAACAGGAATATTTTTTTTTAATACTTTGTGTGGCTGCCATTAGCGTCACATACAGCCTGCAATCGCCGTTTCATTGAAACAATAAGGTTTTGTATGTATGTTTCTGGAATCTTCTGCCATTCTTCCAGTACAGCAGCTTTTAAATCAGTTTTTGATTTTGGACTCCGCTTTGCGACTTTTTTTTTCAAATATGACCACACATTTTCTATTGGATTCATATCTGGACTTTGTGGTGGAGTGTCTAACACCTTTCCACAGTTGTACAACAGCCAAACTCTTACCATATGAGCTTTATGCTTCGGGTCATTGTCCTGGTAAAATTTAAAAATTGGCTTATTGTCCTCATAGAATCCAAATTTCTGTGCACTACTGACGAGATGTGTCTGTAAAATGCTCAGATATTGTCTAGCATCCATGGTATTCTCAATGAAGGTCAAATCTCCTACACCCTTGCTCGAAATACACCCCCACACCATCACTGATAGTTTTCCGAATTTAACGGTTGGAATAATATTGCGGTTTTCCAACGCTGTTAGTGGCTTTCTCCAGACTCTGGATGGCCCATCGTTGTAGAATAGCATCATCTTGCTTTCGTCACAGAATATGACGTTACTCCAAAAATCGTTCGAACTATTTACATGGACTTGAGCGAACGATAGCCGCTTCAAAATATTCGCCGCCGATAGTAGAGGTTTTTTCCTGGCAACTCGTGATGTGTAGTCATTGGAATTCAGTAATTTTCGGACAGTTTCATGTGACACATCAACACCACTTTCTTCCTTGAACTCCTGAGCAATATCCCTAAGCGAAATTTGTGGATTTTTCTCAATTTTTCTCAGAATTTTTCGCTTATCTCTGTCAGAAATTTTGCAGGGTCGACCACATACTGGCTTTGCCTCTAGCCTATCTTCCTTATTGGCTCTGTTTAATATGTTGTATATCGTTGCTTTTGATAAATTAAACATATCAGCCAGTTCCGAGACTTGACGTCCCATCTGATGGTTATAATACACCAGCTGAGCGACTTCAAAAGTTGTTCTTTTTCCTGGCATTTTATTTTTCATAAAATTAAAGCAAAACGTTATAAATTGCAATAGAAAATGACAAGAAAAGTCGAAGACACAAGAGAAGCCAAAACGCATGGGCCCAAATCTAACGGGATCACCCAAAAGAGAACGGCAAAACAATTTACCGTAGCTGTAAAAACACTTTATTGACAGCATAAAATGTGAATGTTTTTAGTTTTTTAATTTTATAAAATGTTTGGGTAATGTTATTTAACAATTCTTTTTGCCATTAAGTTCTAGGAGAAATATAGAATCGAAATAAATTATAATTGAAAAAAAATTCTCACTTTTAGGTACATTTATTTTCAACTAAACCCAAAAAATTAGTTTTTTTTTGTTAGTAAAAACACTTTATTGACATACTGTATATGCTTTACATGCTTGACATTTCAATCAGTTGTCCTTCTCAGTCTCTCGTACTCTTGCTTTCTTTCTAACCTGCTCTGCTTAACGTTAATCAACACTAATTTCGCTAGAATTTTAGTGAGTTTTTAATGTTAACTTGTTGCAACCAATTCAAAGACATTTTTTTTTAGTATTAATTAATATGCATGAAAGTACACGTGGACTTTATTATTCTTGTAAAACTCGATTGGAGCAAATCCTCAATTTTCCAACTGATAAACCAGTTTGCCTCATCGACTAATATCTGTGTAATATTTTTATTTTCTGTTAAGTATCGTTGCCTTTTAATGGATTATTGTGCCCTGTAAAAACGTTGCACAGTTTTTTTGATAACGTTAATGATTCACACAACGTTGGCCACAAGCAAATTGTTGCAGTCACTGAAAAAAAAAAAAAAACAACAATAGAGCTATGAATCACAACTGAGACTCAATCCACTGTCTGCCTGTCTGTTGCTCTGTCTGTTTTTCTTCCTCTTTTTTCACTCCGACTATACCAATTTCAAGTCCAAAACAAAAGGCCCATATTATTATTATTATTTTATATACATATAATTGAGCCGAAGCGGTCGTCGGACTTTGTGATGTTACTGCTCCCTCAGATGTTGTTTCAAAATGATTGCATGAATGTATGTGTGTGTGTGTGTGTATGTATGTATGTATGTATGTGTGTATGTGTGTATGTGTGTATGTGTGTATGTATGTGGTATGTATAAACAAGAAAACAAAAAATACAACAACAAAACGGCCGTTGCGTCCATTGGCTTCAGTTTTGTATCCCATTTCGAGTAGTTGGCGTTTGCGCTTCACTGATGGGCACTTGCAGTAATTGTTGTTGCTGATCAGGTTGTTGTTGTTGTTGTTGCTGTTTAGTTTGTTGTAAATCATTCGACTTGTTTAAGTTTCGTTTTTGCAACGTTGCGCATACGCCACATTGTTCTTGGTCTTGTTGCCAACTCAATATATTTGCTATTGTTTTATTCGTATTGTTCGTATTTCGTGTAACTAATACTAAATACTAATGTGTACACTTGTTAAATTAGTTGAATGCTTGTTGTTATTGCCCCTAATGCTTGTTACGCTTGTTGTGAGCCACACACACACACACATACGCATTTCTTGGCCGATTATTAACTTGAAGATTGCACATTTCACAGTCAATTAAGTGCGCAAACCCATTTTGCTGTACTAAAATACACTCAAAAACACACACACACACACACACAGAGAGAGAGGGAGAGTGAGAGAGAGAGTGAGAGAGAGAGAGAAAGAGAGAGAGAGAGAGAGGGAGAGAGTCACTCGCACATATGTCCAAGCATATGGCTGCATGTGTGCATTTTACTTGTCTTAAAACTGCTTCAGCTAATTTATCAAGTAAATGGACTAGACCGGAATTTTACCCAAGAGCTACACAGGAAAAATTTCACATTAACTAGTTCACTTGCATTGATAAACAATCGCTAGATAAACAACTTGGATATACCCTGTACCAGTCTGTAGTCGCAAAAGTTGCGTGATACCCGATACTCATTTAATAGGAGCTTGCACATTGATCAAAATGGAAAAATAATATAAACAACAGCTGAAATAAATTAGATGACACATTCAACTAATGCATATTTATGTATAATATATAAATGTTAAATAAAAAATATACATATGTTATTTATAAATGTTATTTACTTTTAAGCGTATGTGACACTTCCAAGTATCCATAATTAAGCGATATGTGGAATGAAATATAACAAACCGAGTTCTTGAAGTTGCAAACTTTGATGCATTCATAAGGGAAATGTTTGCGCTATCAAACTAACTCTTATTTTTTTAACATATTTTGAATTAGTTTTTTAAAAATTTTACACACGTGTGGTTAAATAACTGAAAGCAACATGTTTGTAATTAATTTCCAACAGGTGATTTTTTTTCAAACCGAAAGAACTCTTCAATGGAATTTGTCTATAGATCAAAAGTTTACCACATATTTGTTAGACATACAAATGGAAATATTCAACAAATGCAGTTCAAGGATATGCAGCTTTTAGTCAATTCGTCAATCTAAAAATAATAGTTTTTCATAACTTGCTGTCTGACTAATTAGCGATAAAGCGATCAGAGAGCAGGACTTGGACAGAAAATATTCGACCTCTTTGTGGCGGAAAACAAATGTCAAAGTTTGCAGACACAAGTACGTCTAGTCACTGGTTCAAATCCAGCAACAATAATTTATTTTAATATTTGCCTATTGAAATTGCTATGAAAAAATAATCAATAATTTACCACGATGTTGGTACGAATGAAACCAGCAAATCGGTACGACTTGAAATTTCAAGTAATATTTAATTTCAGTCGGATCTCCACAAAGCGAATGAATGTGAGAAGAAAAAAGCAATATTGAAATATACAGACACAAACACTTTTCAACAGATGCTAAATCTTCAGCTACAAAGCAAGCTGCAATTACGATCAAATGTTAGTCAGCATTTCAACTTAAATTTGCAGCTTTTTTTTTCTGTGCATTCTAGATTTTAATTTTTAGAAAATTCATAAGTTTATTAGTTTCCCAATCACTCACATCATTCACCATGCAACTCATTACTTACATTTCTGTGAATCTTTTG